TAGTTTGCCTTGATGATTAATAATAGAAATTAATCAAATAATTATAATCGTGTAATTAAAACAAGTCAAAAATAATTGAAAATGATCAAAACTAACGAAACAATGATGTAATTAAAATTAATTAATATTTTTTAATAATTAATTACTTTTTTAAGTAAGAATTTTGTAAGTAATTAATTATATCGGTATTTAATCATTAAACGGTTATCCAAACAAAACCATGCTTTAATTAATAATCATTATGAATATTAATTATTATTTAACAGGTATGGTATAATTGCGAGTACGTACTCGCTTTAACGGTTTACAATATAGCCAAATAAAAGTTATAATATTTTGTGTACTTTATTGTATTAAACTGTCAAAGTCAAATAAAGTAGGGCATGAATAAATCGTTTTGTACTTGGTACAAGTCTGGTCATTTTCGAACTAGATCGGTTTCTGTCATGAAATTCTAGTTGTAAACTAGTATTTTTCCTGACTAGTTTGGGATTTCACTGCAGGGTACTCTCTGCAATCGATCAAATGAGTTAGCAAATTTGCAATTTAAAGACATGTCTGATATAGTAATAAATACAAATGCACGCTTTCGATATTCGGGTAAGTCCTTTATTGGTAAGAGAGGAGATTTTGGCCAATTGTTCTGATCGCCACCAAGATAAGATGGTCCGTTTTTCCACAAAGACATGTTTAAAAGATCTTTCGGACTAGCGCCTCTTGAAAGAATGTCTGCTGGGTTGGAATCGGTTGGAACATAGACCCAAGTCATACCTTTGNTCGGACTAGCGCCTCTTGAAAGAATGTCTGCTGGGTTGGAATCGGTTGGAACATAGCCCCAAGTCATACCTTTAGTTAGGGTCTGAATTGCATTAATACGATTTGCGACAAAAACGTTGAAGTTGGCCGGTTCATTACGTAGCCATGATAGCACTATTGTGGAGTCTGACCAACAAAATACCTTTTTTCCTTTGAAATGCGTTGCGCTTACCACTTTTGCGATTAACTCGGCTAAAAGTAATGCTCCAGAAAGCTCAAGCTTCGGTACCGTGAGCGCTTTAAGTGGAGCTACACGAGATTTGGAGCAGAGAAGATTGGTTAGCATGTGTCCCTCACTTTCAGCACGTATGTATATGCAGGCACCATAAGCAGCAATACTCGCATCGCAAAACCCATGTATTTGTAGGTCCGCCTCGGGCATTATCAAGTAACGGTCGAAACTAAAACGAGCAACTAGCTTGTATTGGTTGCATATTTCCAGCCATTCTGCTTGTAATGCTTGAGGGTGGCTTTCGTCCCAATGCAGCTTCTCCTTCCACAAATGCTGCAGAATATTTTGGCTTTGGCCACCACAGGTCCAATCAAACCAAGCGGGTCGTAAAGCCTAGCTATAGCTGAAAGGATTGTACGCTTAGTTACCTTGGTTGGTGTTGCGAAAGGAGAAAATGAAAATATGAATACGTCCAACTTTGGGTCCCAAACCAATCCAAGTGTCTTTGTTATGCTTGCACCATCATCGAAGGTTAGAAAGTCCTGTCTGTCATTACCACCTATATCAGCCAAAACGCGATCATCATTGGAGCACCATTTCCTCAAGTGAAAGTTTCCAAGAGTTAACAATTTCTTTGTCTGGTTTAGCACGACTTTAGCTTCGTCCACAGAGTCTGCACCGAAAATCATGTCATCCACATAGAATCCATGGTGTATCGTCTCGGCTCCAACGGGATAGACGAGAGCTCCGTCACGGCCAAGCTGCCGCATTGCTCGAATGGCTAGAAAAGAAGCTGACTTTGTTCCGTAGGTGACGGTATCTAATTTAAAAATGCAGAAATCTTCATTAGGATTATCCCTCCATATTATACATTGAAGGAAGTTGTCTGGATGAGACATTCTTACGCACCGGTACATTTTAGCGATGTCTGCAGTAANAGCAATTTTAAATGTGCGAGATCTAAGCAAAATATCAAAAAGAGGTGGTTGAATAGTTGGTCCTTTCATCAGGATCGAATTCAGCGAACGTCCATTGCTGGTTGGCGCAGAGCCATCAAAAACCACACTCAGTTTTGTTGTGGTGCTATCAGCTTTCAACACACAGTGATGTGGCAAAAAATTCACTTGAATTTGCTTTGGTATAGTGTCAACGACTGACATATGATTCAAATCAAGGTACTCCTTGATAAACGACGAATATTGTTGTTTTAGTTCAGCATTGCGCTGAAATTTCCGCTCTAAAGCTTTGAACCGATTGATGGCCTGCTGATACGATTCTCCTAATTCGCAATGAGGCGATTTTGCTGGCAATCGAACCGAAAACTCACCAGATTCTAATCTCTTATGGGTTTTGATGAAATGTTCTTCGCACAAGTCTTCCTCTACTGTATTCTTTGGTGCGGAGTCATTACAATTCTCGATGGCCCAAAATCGCTGAACCAGGTTGTTTAACTCGACATCTGTGTCATTTGCTAGAGCTATGTCGATGGCTGCTAAGCAAGATAGTTTCTGAACATTGCATGTAGTTGCGCCTGATACAACCCAGCCTAACTTTGTTTTTTGTAAAAGTGGCAAGTTTTCAGCCAAGCGAATCTGACCGACGCAGAGGAGGTCGAAAAATAAACTAGCTCCAATGAGCATATCAATGCGCTGAGGTTCGAAGAATTGTGGATCCGCTAAGCGTATGTTTGATGGTATGTTCCAATTAATACCCTTTAAAGAGCGAGTTGGTTGAACATCGGTAATGGTGGATGTTGCAACCGCAGACAATTTAGCAGTGTAATCATTAATGCGCGAATGCAGGTCTAAATCAACGATATGATTAGCAACGAACTCATTTTGGCCTATATCAGAAATGAACTGCGAAGACTTGATCTTCTTCAATTGTAGCTGGTTAAAGAGTCAATTGGTTATGAAATTTAATTGTGACGCAAAATCTAGCAAAGCTCTGTAGGGAATGAGAGAGCCAGATCGATTTTTTACGTAAATGATGGCGGTTGCTAAGAGAACGAAATCTCTGTCAGCAACGCTGGCTTGAACTTCAGAACTGACAAATGCAGAAGCTGAAGGACCGAAAGATGAAGACGAAGGCAAGTACGAATTGATAGAAGTAGGGATTGTTGTTGTTGTTGTTGATTGCGCTTGCGACGGCCGTTTGGCAGAATCCAATGCTTGTGACGAAGTCGAAAATGAATTTGTTTCTTGATGAAGCAGACTGTGATGCTTCGAAGTGCAATGTCTACAGTGACCGGACTTGCAGTCCTTAAGTGAATGACCGTGTCGAAGGCAATTCAAACATAAGTGCAATCTTTTTGCTTCTTTGTAGCGTGCTGTAGGCGAAAGGCATAGAAACTGTTCGCACTTTGCGATGTTGTGCTCGCTAGAACTGCACAATATGCATGCAGCTACAGCTGACGTTAGCAGAACCTTGCGACTGTTATTGTTATTGGACGATTTCTTTCCTACCTGATTTTCCGGCGGTGCAATAGCGTTCTGCACATTTTCCAGTCGCTGGCAGCGTTGTTCCAAAAATATAGCCATTGAACTCCAAGTAGGTATTTCGTTTGCTGGTGTTTGTTCCTCCCATTTCGCCCGAGATTTGACGTCCAATTTTCCAGAAACGAGTTGAATGAGTAAGCAATCGGCGATCTGCTCCTTTGTTCCCATAGTTTGCAAAGCTCGTAAGTGAGCATTTACCGTATCGCTGAGTTCTCGAAGTTTGACAACCCTTTCACCCTCTACCCTCTTGAGCTGAACAATGTCTCGGATATGAGCCTGGAAGTTTAAACGCTTGTTATCAAATCGAGCTTTTAACAAATCAATGGCCTTCTCATAATTTTGTTCACTTATTTCTAAGGAACGAATTGTGTCCAACGCTGCATCACGTAGACTTGACCGAAGGTGCTGGAATTTCTCAATTCTTGTCAAATCTACGTCCTGATGTACAACGGTGTTAAACATCGAGAAAAAATCTGGCCATTCTAAACAGTTACCGCTAAACTTAAGGATTTGTAAGACAGGTAACCTCTGCTTTGGTTGAGTGACGATGATCGAAGGTTGATTACCAGAAAATGTCGTAGAGCTATGCGCTTCTGAAGCTCGGCATGTGTGCAGCTGACGTGTCAGCTTGGTTTTTAACTCGATATAGTTACTAGTAAATGCAGTCAAAAGATCATCAGCGTCGTTGTCCTCTAGTTGCGTGTGAAGGGCATCGAACCTCTTCTCCATTCGATCCGCTTGCTCGATGCGCACCTCTACTGCAGCCTCGTCGAACTCACGCAGGGCATCGAAAGTCAGGGAGTTGTTGATCATGGCAATTTGTTGGACAAATGAGTCCAGCTTTTTCCGCCTTCAGCTGAGTCAATCTTTTTGAATGGTGCCAAAAAATAGTCAAACGCAACGTTTGATAAACCAATTTTGCGATAAACCAAACTTGTTAGTGTTGATTCCGCGATCACGTCGGGGTCACCAAATGTTATGGGGGCAATAAGCTTTTTTACTGACCCGTACTAAATGCGAGATAAAGTACGATAAAAATAGTTTGTAGGCTTTTCCCATTTTTTTACAATAATTATTGATTTGTATTCGCTGCTTAAAACTATATGCTAGCGCTCTTTACAATATTAAAAATAAACGAGTAGTAAGTATGCGCGAAACACCAAGAAATATATGCAGGCGTTTTACTAAAAATGCTTTAAGTGCATATGCTAGCGCTTGCCATCTTGACCAAAATGCAAGTGAGAACATAAATTCTTAGCTTACAAAATTTCTTCCAGCTAATAAGTAAAATGGCATACGGTATAAATGTATGTACATCACCTGATTTAGTGGTACATATGCCAGTCTAATACAGTTATGCTAATGTATGTATGTATGTATGTACAAATATGATAACAGCGCATTATCAAAGTCACTCAAAACTCTAAACCGGTTCTTTAGCATTGATAGAATTATGCAGTAGCGGGAGCACAGATTGATAGCAAGCAAAAGTTTACGTATATATGTATGCAAGTATGCATATATGTGGACATGAGCAGATACAAATAATTAGCATAAAGAAGAGCTAAGCAATTATGCGCAGCTGATATTATCAGTGATGGTACATATGATTAAATGCTATCAGTGTTGGTGCGCAATGTAAAAGATAGTACCAATGAATTTGGGTACTTAATATGTAGATACAATGTAGTGTCCGTCCGATACTTCCGGCCATGCCGGAAGCGGAGATGTTTGACAGGCATAACTTTTCTCCGCTATGGCGCAGGGAAAAGTAGTGAGGCAAGAACCCCGCCCAGCTGACATGACTAGCCACAGTGCACCCCATTGTGTCATGCCGACTGCACTCACTGCTGCTCCAAAAGTATGCATACCATAACAGATGGCGCCCAACGGGGTAGCCTGAGGTTTGGTCAGGTTGACTGGTCCTGACTGGCACATTAGGCTTCACCATCCCGCAAGTCCCAGGAGGGCATGTGATTGCTGCCCCTTGCTGCGTTGCGGCGGGATGAGTGGAGCTGAGTGCGCTGGTTCGGATCAGTCCTCTTGGTCAGCAACCGAAGGCTTCTCCGAGACTTTACGTCACGTCCTCCGGAGTTTTGTATTCACCCGGTGAGGCAGTGCTAAACGCACTTAGTTTTTTTTGTAGTTTGACTTTTTTTTCTCCAAATTGTTCAGTGGTCCGATATGTCGGCACGGGAATGGGGAAAAAATTAGTCCGCTAAGTGGGGTTTAGAGTGAATAGATTTTCCTTTAGTTTTTTTTTGCCGAATTTTTTTTTTGTTTTTTTTGCGACTTGTTTTTTTTGGGAAAAAAAAATATATACATTTTTCGTTAGCACCCAGCTCACTCCATAGGTCTGCGCTGGGGCTCCTGAGCATTCCCATTGACTCCTGAAAAATACATATTTCCCAATTATATTAAATTATACCCACTGGAATTTTGCTTACACGTATATTTACCACGTATATATTTAATTATCCCCCTTGATATGTTTATTTACTAAAAATATATTTTGATTGTTTTTTTTTTAATTCTTTTGCGTATATTCTCATTCAGTACGCGGACTGAATAATTATTGATATTTTCGACTTTTTTTTGTTGAATTGTCGCGATCGGTTACAGCAGTATCGCGCCACTTATCTAAATCTATTGATTTTATTTGAAATATTTTCTTCTGACGTTCTTTTGGCTTAAGCTATCGAAGCAAGCCTTACTTGATTTAGAATTTTGCTCTCAGATTTTCGGATTTTGGTATGAGCTCTGGGAGAGCCAAACCTTCAGTACCTGTTGTAGACTTTAAATTTGGACTTGCCTTGACCTCAAGCGTCACATTTCTTGATTTCCCAATTGCAGTTGATTCGCTGTATGGAAGAGCAGTAACGGCTTACGCGCAGTAGCTCGGTGCGGGGTAGCGGCTTTAAGTCAAGAGGGGCCGGGAGAAATAACACTCCTGCATTCACCTATTGCTGACCATACTGGGGGAGTTCCGCCTCCAATTCCAGTGGCCAATCCCGCTCCGGGACTAAAGGTTGATAGCCGACAAAGTTCAAATTTATTTGACACCTCACCACCTGGGACTTCGGTCCAGAATGTTTCCGCTACCTCCATGACTGTGCTTTCGGGAAGACAGGAAAATGATAGGTCTTTGCCAGGGAATACCGGCTTTAGTGAAGGTATTGCAGAAGATAGGAGTAGACGTTCTAATGGCGGAGCGCCGGCAGGAGATTCGTGGGTAGGAGTGCTTCATCAGATCTTACGTACTTCGCAAGAAGAAACGAGAGCTGAAATGAGAACGATGCGGGAAAATATGAACGCATTAAGTGCAGCGGTAACTGCATCTCAAAATGCACCCAGTGGCCCTAGGGACTTTGCTTCTATCGGACGCAATCCGACACAAGCCACTTTGAATAACCGACCAAATTTCACCCCTAATATTGTCATTAAGCCACAGGATTGGAAGGTATCCTATGACGGCACCGGTAGCGTGTCAGACTTTCTTTTTAAACTCAATACATTGTGTGAGCGCACGGAATGTACAGATGAGCAGTTGATGGCAAGCTTCCACCTATTTTTGTCAGGGCGAGCTGAGGAATGGTATTGGTTGTTCACTAAGCAGAACCCAGATGCGACTTTTCCCTTCTTGCGCTACTCTATCAAGCGGGAATTCGGCACCTTAAAAAGTGACCATGAGATCATGCTGGAGATCTCAATGCGTCGTCAGAAGGCTAATGAATTGTATGATACGTCTCATACAGATATATTAGCCTTGAACGCTAGACTAAGGGAGCCGATGTCGGAGAACCTGTTGATGGACATATTGAAGAGGAACGTTAACAGCAGCCTGAAGTTGATGCTTTGCAATGCTGGTGCGCAGACCCTACATGACCTACGTGACATTGCTAGGAAAGGCGAACAGATCCTGAAGGAAAAGAGGAGCTTGGTACCGAACTATTCAGGACGGTATGTCAACGAAACCATGGCTATTACACCGGATGAATGGACAAGAGGAATGGATGGAGAAATGGATCCACAAGTGGAAGCGCTGAATTTCCAGAGCACTAGGAAACCGGACTACTCGGGAATACAGTGTTGGAACAGTGACAAGTTGGGACACTCTTACATCTATTGCGAGGAAGCTATTCGGAACGTGTTCTGCTTCAAGTGTGGACAGAAGGGGGTGGTCACTCCAAGATGCCCCAGAGATCATCGGAGACAGGGAAACCGGAACCCGAGCGAGAAGGCAATCGGGGATTCTCGTTCGGCACCCTAGCCCCCGCAGCAGGGAGTACAAGAGCAGCAGCCTCCTGTACTAAACCAAACAGTAAGCCAGTCCCAACCAGAACCGTTCGTTTGCATGGAGATGTCAGTAGTTCGGAGAGTAGTACCAGTCCCTCGAGGGTTTCACCACGGGTCATCATAGCTTTCCCAGATAGTTCTGATTCCGAGTGTATGTTTTCTTCTACAGCCAATCCTCTGCAGGTTCGAATTCTTAGGCCTTCACGTAGGGATGTCGCATGCCAGACTCAATTCCCAGTTAGTTTAGAGCAAAGAGAGCAGGATTATGAACGGATAAGGGCGGATATCTTCGAAGAAGAGCCAAAACTCGTAGTTTCAAAAAATATTCTACAGTGTAGGAAAATTTATTCTAGCCGAGTAAATATGCGTAAACTTTTGCAAAGCACTAAAATTCTGATAACACCAGATGAGAGACCGCTAGCAAAGATTAAAATATACGATAGTTTCGTAGTGGGTTTGTTGGATTCCGGAGCAAACATTTCCATTCTTGGAAACGGACGCGAAGATTTCCTAAAAAGAAACAATTTAAAATATCATTCTTTGCGCGCGTTTGTTTATACGGCTGGTGGAAATCAGCAGAAAATATTCGACTCGATATCTCTACCGGCCACTTTTAAAAATATTACGAGGACTATTCGCTTTTATCTTGTACCGTTGGGAGTTGATTTCTGGAAAGCACCTGATGTATTTCCAAAGGTTTCTTGTTGAGATTTTCCAAATGAGGATGAGCCAAACTTCCATCAGCTCACACCAGATCAGAAGATAGCACTGCAAGAAGTTGTTCAGGAGTTTCCCTCGTTCGAAAGCTAGGACTAGGTCAAACCAGTTTAGTGACTCACCATATAGACACGGGTAATGCAATGCCAATTAAAAGCAAGCATTTTCCTCTTTCACCACCCAGGCAGGCGGAAGCCTATAGCGAAATTGAAAGGCTACTTAAGATGGGAGTGATTGAGGAATCGAATTCACCTTGGTGTAGTCCAGTGGTACTAGTTCGGAAACCAGGCAAGGTCAGGCTATGCATTGACTCCAGGAAGGTGAACGCGGTCACAAAGAAGGACTCGTACCCGTTGCCCCACATTAATGGGTTGTTGAGCAGGTTAAAGGACACATACTTAATAAGTGGTATTGATTTGAAGGATGCTTTCTTTCAAATCAAATTAGCGGAATCGTCTAAGGAAAAGACGGCATTTGCGGTTCCATGAAAGCCATTGTACCACTTTAACGTAATGCCCTTTGGCCTGTGCAACGGTCCACAAACAATGAGTCGGCTGATGGATAAGGCTATTCCTTCACGGTTACAAGAGAACGTCTTCATCTACCTGGATGATCTGATGGTGTGCATCTCAAACTTTGAAGACCATTTGGAATTGCTGAGGGAAGTGGCGAAATGCTTACGGGAAGCGGGACTTACAATCAACGTGAAGAAGAGCAAGTTCTGCCAGAAGGAAATTCGGTATCTCGGGTACTTGATATGGAATAGTTGTTTGAAAGTAGACCCAGGCAAGATTGATACG